GAATTCACTAGATGTAATTGCCCTTTCTCTTTTCTTCCTCTTGGTGACCTTTTCCTATGCAGGCTACCCTGAACTTTAAGGTACTCCGAGACACAATCTAGATGAGTCTAGCTGAGAGCAGACCTACTGGTGTACATGAACTCTGTCTTGGAGGATTTCCCTATGCCTACTCAATTCACTGACATGTTTGAACTGGAAACCTTGCTAGTTAGTGTAGGTTCTAGAAGCTGTGTCTTATAGACAAAGCTTTCTCCTCTGAGTCCCAGTTTTCTCATCCAGAAAATGGAGACATTATCTACACTGTCTTAAACGCTGTATGAATCAGTGACCTCATCTATTATGTACTCAGGGACCGTATTTGCTGGTAAGAGGACAAGCAGGTATCATCTGCAGCAATGTCACAGCAGGTGTGGAATTCCAGGAGCAGTGGGCATGGTATTTTCATACCAAAGAACTTCCGAGGTATTTGTTGGTTCATGTGCAACTTTCTGCTATGAATAGGGTCCTCGAGTCTTGAGACCTACAACAGAAAGCTAAGTGCAGAACAGTGGAATCACATCTATTAGAAAGCTGAGGAGGGGCTGGGGATGTGGTTTAACAGGTAAACCACAAATGTGAGAGTCTGAGTTTAGATGCCCAGTATCCACATACAAGCTGCGTAGACGCAGTGACCCACCTGTAACCTGTTTAAAGGAAACAGAGGCAAGATGTCCCCTTCCCTTCTGTGAGTTTCAGGTAGCTAGACCCACTGGATTGGCAAGCTCTGGGTTTTAATGAGAGATCTTGCCTCAGCATAGGTAGAGGGTGATAGAGGATGCCAACCAAACTCTGGCTCTGTAAGCATGAGCACACACATGCACCTGCATCTCTCAAACATGTATGGCGACACATGTATGAATACACATTCATAACGCACACACACATTGAATAGGAGAGGTCTAGGTAATACTTTCTTTACAATTAGACTCAATTAAAGGAAAGAACTTCCTTTAGTTAAACACATGGAATTGACTAAAAGAATAAAAAGCTCTCAAAGGGCTCCTGCTTGCTCTCCACATAAAACCTCACCTCTCAAAATCGATAATGAATGCCGTTCATCAGTGGCAATTGTCAACCATTTAGAATCGGTTTCTTATCTACAAATTTGTATTGGTTACATAATATGCATTAAGTTTGTGCTCAGCTAAGAGGATAGTTGGTGGGTGTATGGGCAAGAACTTGGAAGTTGAAATAACCTTGGTAAGAGTTCCACCTTGACTTTACCCCTTACAAACACCTTAGCACCCTGGGGCTCATCTGTGAAATGGGAAGAGAAACTGAAGATGTTTCTCTCTTGGTTTGCCTGTGTACTGGACACTTAGCAACATGCCTAGCTATGTGTGGCACAAAGCTTGTGCTTTTCAGGCGGTGGTTGCCATCTTCATGCTTCCTGGGAAGAGGCATGGAAAGCCCGTGCTGTATCCAAGGTAGATTTGCTCAGGGTATTTCTGAAATACGCTGATCAAGCTTCCCAAAGGATGGAAATGCAGTTCTATGGTGTGGCTTCAAGTCTGTCTTGATTGGCATGGGGCTGAGGGGTTCAGAGGGGGCCTGATTGGGAGGTGTGGGCAGGTTACTGTGGGGATTTTGTTCTGGAGGCTGAGAACAGTGGTGTCAACCACACTTTAGGCATTAGGACTGGAAGAGAGCTCCAGGAACACATGTGTAGTGAAAAAGACTGGGACAGACCAAGAAAATGCTCTCAGGTTCTTACTTTGAGAACCTTTGGTGGGCTGGAAGAGTCTCTGGAAGAGAAGAGGAGTCACTATTCTCTGTTCATGGGTTGCTTGCCTAATTTGAAATGGACTTTCAGAATTGTGCGCAGGGGCCTGTTAGCATTTCTCTTCCTATAGGAGGAGGAAGCATCTCTATGGAGGTCTGACCACAGCAGGGAAGAGAAGCTGCTGCAAGTGCAGGGACAGAGGAACAACACAAATAATAAACTAAGTGTCCATAGGTAGGACGACTAAGTGATGACCACGGGGTCATCTCAAGACCATTGGTTAGACATGCACACACAGCACGAAACAAGAGTGCATGACACATTTAAACACAGTGCTCAAAGAGTTCAGCGTATGTAGAATTTTGTGTATTTGTACATTTCCAGAGAGAAGAAAAAGTAATACTCTTTATTGCCGCTAGAGAGAACCACCGTGTAGCTACATAGTCAGAAACTGCTCTGTTCTAGTTTTTTTAACTCTTGCCTTTTTGTTGTCTACTAAAAATAAAACTTACAACTAACCATCATGTAATAGCTAGCATGGGCAAGGAAAGAGTTAAGCCGTCACTACTGGCGCCATGTTTAAATCTTATGCTGGCTTTTGAGTTCTGCTTTCCAGATGAGGTGCTTGAGACTTGTCCAAGGTCCCATGGCTGTTAAGTAGAAGAAACATGACTATGCTCCGAGAGTTTGCTCAGAGACCACTGGCTAGCCACTAGGTTTCTCTGCCTTCCCTGCTGCCCTGGGTACTCAAGTGTGGACAGCTGGTGTCCAGACAGATCACCTATCTTGGTCTCTCCTGGTCCCAGAGCGTGTGTGTGCAGGCACACATGGGCACATGCATTGTTACACATGGTGTATCTATACATATGCTCTTTTCTCACTGGCTGTGAATTTACTCCACAGACAGGACCCTAAGAGGAGGTCTTCCCAAGAGAAGCAGGCTCTGCCTCCCTTTTTTTTTTGGTTGATCTTAAGAAAGCAATTAAACTCATGCTTAATCTTTTTTTCTTTAGAACTACGGGACTTCTAGAGAAAAAATATGCCAAACAAAACCAGTGATGAGAAGTAAACTTTGAAGAGCGGTGTTTATAAACGGAGGTCAGTCTGTGGCAGAACAGGGAGAAGGAGATCAAAGTTGGGGTGGGGTACTCTGGAAGGCAACTATGTGTACTGTGCCAGCAGCACATGAAGTGGGGATACTGCATGCAAGAGGAGCAGTGCTTTTCCTCCCAAAATTAACGCACCATTTCTGTGTCTACAAGTAGTGTTAGAGTTTCTGTGGGTAGATGCTTTCAGCTTATCCCATCCTGTCTCTTCACACAATAGCATATCTGTCTCGGTGCTGGGAAGACAGTTCAGACTGTGGTGTGCTTACCGCATAAGCATGGTGACCTGAGTTCAACCCTAGCAGCCAAGTGGAGAGCTGGCATGTTGTCACACTTATAATCAAATTGGTGAGGGAGATAGTGACAAGGATCCCTGGGACCTGTTGGCCTGCTAGCCTAACTGAATTGGTGAACCCCAGATCTTGGACAGAGGTATCATATAAAAAATTAAGGTGAGTGGGGAGATGGCTTAGTGGGAAATGAGGTCCTAAGTTGAAATCTCTTACACCTACATAAGAAGCCATGCCCAGTCATGTGTGTATAACTCTAGTGTTGTGTGCACATATGTGTGTGGGGGAATCTCTGCAGCTTGATGGAGGCATTCCAGCTCCAGGGTCAGTGAGAGATTTTTGTCTCAAGAGAACAATCTAGAGAATGATAGAGCAGGACACCCCACTTCCTTTCCTGGCCTTGGTGCACACAAAGGCATTAGCACCTGCATGCAAGTGCTCACACTTGTGCTTAGACCATATCACACATGTATAATGGTACACAGTATATTTCTGTCTATGTTATCTCTCTGTCTCTCTGTTGCTGTCACACACATATACACACATGAGACACACGAGACACACGAGAGAGAAAGAGAGAGAAGGAAAGACAGGGAGATAGATAGACAGACAGACAGATAGATAGATAGATAGATAGATAGATAGATAGATAGATAGATAGATAGAGAAAGATAGTAGATGGCTTGAGAGTATAATACCTGAAGTTGACCTCTGGCTTCCACATACAAGTAAAGACACACATATGTGTACATATACACACACTCACACTCACCACAAATCCATCTCTACACTCCCATACAACAAAACAAGTCTTAATGTAGAGAATTGGGAGTTGGGACTAATAAGCTCTGTGTCTGTCAGACACAGTGAGTATATATATTCATCGGTTATCAGTCATCTGGTTTGCTCATTGAAATAATTACAGTAACACTCAGATAAGCTCAGTGTAGCAGAATGAGCTTAGGCGCAGCGCTTTAGCTTTCTGGGTCTCAGATTCTTGATGCTTCAATAGAGGAGGCTGAGTTCCTCTGTACGTAGCTCATCATTTCCCGGGTTTTACTCTTTCCCTGGAATTTTCTGATTTTTTCCTCTAGTTCCTTTGCAGTAGCTGGTCTATAGAATGCTATTTTGACTCTTACCTCAGTTTTCTAAAAATATCACTATTCTTCCAGGTCTGTTTTTCTCTCTCTAAAGTGTCACATAAGTTTTATGACTGTAACAACTGTGCATCTAACCATCTTTTCCTTCCTTCTTGGCACAGCTGATAGGGAAAAGGGTCTGTTTCTCCTCTCGAGGGCATTGGCATGTGTTAAAAGTGTCCATTCAACTTCGTGAACCTCAGGAAGACCCGCTAGTCTCTCCAGCTCCGTCTTTCAGTTTGCTAACCATGGTGTTTATGGATTGTATGGGACATGTTGTCAACACTAATCCTTGCAGGTCTAGGTACCATGTGTCCTTTATCCCACACCTAGTGCAACTGGAATATCTGATCAAAGAACAGAGGTTGTGTTCCTGGGTGTGTGCTGAGAGAGACGGAGGAGCTTTTGGAACTTAAAATGTCCTGTAGTTGCCAAGATGATGATAGTTAGAGACACCATAACTAGCTCTCCTTCACATGCATTTCAGGTGCCGTGTCATGGGTTTTACATGAATTAACTCACTGCATCCCCACCACCCTGCTAGGTGTAAAGCCTTGCCCACACAGTCTAGGCGAACAGTCTATACTTGAAGGAACTAGGATCCCAATGCCAACCTGCCTGCACCAAGAACTCTTGTAATTATGGAGCTCTACAGGAAGAGGATTCCTGCATTTCCTCTCTCCTTTCTTGATTATTTATAGTACCCGTTGTTACTATGGCACTTGTTTGTTTACAGTACCTGTTGTTGCTATGGTACTGACTGGCTGGGATCGCCTTCCACCGCTTATTCCATAGAGTTCAATTTCGTACTCAGTGGCCTCTCGGAGGCCTGTTATGTCCCTGGTACGCTCGGGGGAAGGGAGGGTTATTTCTTGTGGTTCGGACTGCTTTTTGGTGTCTCTGATCCTGAGAACAAAACTGTCGAATATCCCTTCATCAGCAGTCCAGGACAGACGGAAACCACCTGGAGTGGCATCTGAAACTAGAAGGTTGTCAACTTCCAGTTCAGCTTCTAGAGGAGAGAAGACAGCGGAAGAGGGAGGAAACAGAGCGTTAATCAGCAGTCCACACAATCTTCTTCCTGGTGGGATACAGAGTATGGTGGTAGCTCGGTTTTCAGGGACAGAGTATCCGGAGATACCAGGAAACAAAACCGTTCCATATTAATAAGTCTAGTAGGGCGAGGAGAGGAAAAACGTGGGATTGACACATTCAATACAAGCCAAGCATACTCTTGCATCTGTGAGTTTTGTCTAAAAGTAATTGCATAAATCCACATCTGGACTTAGCGCCGGCCCCTCCCATGCATTATTAAATAAGTTCAAAGCCATAATTTGTTTACATTCTCTCTCTGTCTTCCAGTGGCTGAGTGCCCATCCTCTGCGAGTGCCTTTTCTTTTCTTTTTGAAAAGACAAATAAACCAGCTCTAATGATCTGTAGAACTGTCCATAATGAATCTGATGATTATATTCCCCTCGAGCCAGAGCAAAATGACTTAAAATATTCTGGTCTTTTGGCTTTGCTCACAGGAGCTGGTATACAGAAGAAAGCTGCTATTCTTTACTTTCTTTTCTGTCAGTTTTAGTTTCCTGCTTGCTTAGCCATTAGGTAAGTGCTTGGGTGGTAGAATGAGGCTTGGAACCTCTTCAAATATATTTATATATACCTTGTACCCAGGGTTTCATTTTGGCAACTAGACAAAACTCAAGGTCAAAATAAATCTGAAGCTGAGTTTCCCAAAGTGTGTTCAAAGCAAACTATTCCTGTTCTATCCTCTTTCTTTACAAAGCATTCCTTGTCAAACAAGAGTGGGTAATGCTGCTCCCTGTGAGGTCTGCAATAAGGTTTCTGAAAAGCCTATATGGTCGAAAACCGTTTCCAACCTATCCAAAAATGAAATGGTGTCTCATGAGATCTTTGAACACTCTCTAGAGCCTGTTTTCTCCAGAAATACTTTGGGAAACACAGATTTTTGACTGTTAAGATTGTTAATATATTTCTATAGAAAGTATTAGTCTTGAGAACATTATGAATTTAGTCTGTGTGGAAGATCCTTTCTGATATTAGTTTTCCTAAAAGATCAGTTTAATAAATTTCATTTAGTTTCCAATGAGAATACAACTAGGCAAGTTGGCTAAGGTCACAGGTTGAGACTATGAAATAGCAAAGATTTTTAAAACACTTTTTCAAAATATACACATCGGTATATTTCTTTTGAGAAGGCTGAAATGCAGCTGGGGACCAGCCAGGACGAGCATAAAGGAAGGTCAGTGGAGTAAGCATGTGAGGGCTATCGGTAAGACATGGACTAGAGGGCTTGGAACATTGAAGGGACACATTTCGACCTTCTCCTTTGTGCAATGGGAGGAGTGAGTACTCATTAGATGTTTGAGACAAGGGAAATCACGAAAGAGCAAGCCACATTCGTGGATTAAATGGGGAATACAGACAAATGTTAAAACCACAGTGATCCTGTAGACAGACTACACGAAACAAGAGAGTATGGCTCTCTTGAATTGAAATACCTGTAACAGCCTCAGCCCTCAAGGGCTTGGTTTGGTGCCCTTGGGTGAAGCCAGAAACCAGGACCTCATAGCCAATACCAGTTATGAGGCCTCTAAGCTCCAGCTTCCTCTGGGTTCCTGAAAGTGTGAATTCCTGGGGGTCCAGCAGCTTCCCAGAATCCACCACCGTTACTACAAAGCTGTCAAAGGCATTCTCCGATGCCGTCCAGGAAACTGTGAACCCGTAGGGATTAGTGTCGGAAATGGTTAAGTTTTCCAGAAGGGGCAAGGCCTCTGAAAGAAGGGAGGAGTGAAAACGACTCAGGTTAGCTGCACTGGTTTGGCTAGGGCAGCACATGACGCCACGGATACTGATAGATTGACTCCTATCAATCATCCCGTGAGCTAAAGCTCAGGACTCCGTGAACCCTGATAGGTCATCTCATGAGTTAAATGCTCAGAAAGGAACATTATGTCTTCGGTACCTAATTGTGTTATGTAGGGTGTTTTCCTCAATAATACTGTGCAGCTAATATCATTCCCACTCATAGGCTAGAAACATTTTTAGGTGGTGGAAAGATTTGCCCTAATCTCGCCCTAGTATGCAATGAATCAAGGTCTTCAGCTGATCTTAATTCAGGCCATGTACTTCTCATTATAGAAACATGGCACCTGCATCTGTTTGGGACATTTATCTTTTGCTGTTTCTGATGCTGAAGTATTGTTGCAAGCATACTTTTTTTGGTATAGTTCATGTCTTACTCTGGTTCATATTTTAAGTCTAGTCATTTGGGCCAATTTGTGAGTGATGTAGCTTCAGAAACTAGGATCAGGGGGACAACCAGTAAGATTTGTTGTCTTTTTTTTGTCCAAATTAACAGTTTATGCTTATGGTCAAGGAAGAGAGTCTAAGTTTTGCTGCTTTTTGTGCTATTTACTTTTCTGGGTGAAGTTAGAAAGCAAGAGCATATTTTGTTCTCGTGTTATCATGCTTTGTCTCTCCATATCACCAAACATCCGTGTTCCAGATACGCTTCTTTCCTAGTTGCCCAGGGGTCTTTTCATATACCATTTGGCCTTTCCAAAGAGTGATCTTATGGTAGCCAAGTTTCTGAAAATATCTCCCAGTTGAAGAGGCTGCATATCTTGGATTCAGTCTAACATAATGATACTGTAAGGGAGGTGTCGCCTCCTGCCTGCTAGCCTTCATTTCATTGATGGGAAAAGAAAGATTTTCCCCAGGTCCCAGATCTAGTACATGGATAAGCTGGCATCCAACATGGGCTTCTAGCTCTGAGTTCAGTATTCTTTCCACATCACAAATCAGAGTCTCCATTTGTAAACCCCACCAGTGCTGGTACATCCGAAGGCATAGAGAAGACTGGAGGAGAAGCCCTAATGCATCTTCTCCGGAACAACAGCAATGCTGAATGAATCTGCTCTGTATCAAAGGGGACAAGGCTTGGAATTCTATGTCCAGGTCTGCTTTAGCAGCATCTAACTTAGAACTCCCTTCCTTCCTTCCTTCCTTCCTTCCTTCCTTCCTTCCTTCCTTCCTTCCTTCCTTCTTTCCTTCCTTCTTTCCTTCCTTCCTTCCTTTCTTCTTTTTTTTCTTTTGTGCAGCTAATAAAGAAGTTTCAGAGTTCTAACTAACCTTGTATTAAAGCCCACAGTCAGACTCCTGGGATGTAAAGAAAATGTTTAAAGAGAAGTAATTGGCATCAGAGTGAATAAGTGAATGGATTCCTTCATCCAAAAGCAGAGACTGAAGTTTTGCTTTGGCTTGAACTTCCTGTGTGGATTTGGAAACAGTTGAAGTTTATTTTGCAGGATTTTTTTTCATGAGAAGATTTCCCAAGAATTATAGCTTTATCAAAGCAAAGATGAAATTATATTTACTGTTCAAACTGTCCTGCTTTGTAAAGTGAGGGTCTCAAATGTTGCCTTTGTGTAGATAAGTGCTGACTTTCTTTATTGCTGGCCTGTGTAACTCTGCGCCATCCAAGCAGTGAATTCCAGTGAAAACAGGTACTTTCAGTCTAATTATTCAGCCGAGTGATTGCCTCCCCCGCACTCCCAGTCTTTCCTATTCATTTTCTTTTCTTTTTTGGTATGCCTCTTTCAAAATGTAATCTTTTCAAAATGTAATCACATTATGGATTAGCAGAAACAACACTGTAATTGGATCTTTGCTTCCTTCCTGAGTGTCCCTCTTTCAGCCTCTCTCTCTTCTCTCAATTCTGTGGGAGGCCCCACAGAAGGTGACAAGTAAGGGCCTGATGGGATCTGTGTTAATGGGGTACTAAGACGCTCTGCTACGTTACTTATGAAATGGCTTAAATTTACATTTGATGATTGAAAAGAAAAATAACCACTTAAAATCTTATGCTACACACCCAGTGTACTACTAAGAGGAAGTTGTAATGCATGCTTCTATTGTTTCATCTTGGCTTGTTGGTTCTTTTAGCTATTTATGTGCAGGAATAATGAGAAAATCTAATACTCTACTCATGATGGGCTAGTGACTTTAACTCTGAGCTACACCTCAGCCTTGTTGTTTAATTTTAACAAGACCACTTTACTGTTGGGAGACAACAAGAGGGACATAGCATCCCTAGAATGCCCAGATAATGTAAGGCAGTTATATTTCACCCGTGTCTACTAGATTCCAATTCCAAGAGCACCAGTGAATACTCTCTTCCCTAACATAAGGAAATTGGGGTTCAAATAAATTTGCAACTTGCTAAGGTTATATTGGCAAGATGATGTGAGAGAGGTTTAAAAATCAACTAGGCTTGATCTCAGCTACCATGCATATTTAGCTGTACTTATTGAAATATCTTGCTTATAGTGATTTAGACTCTGGGAGGGACTGGCCTAGTGAAAACAGAAGACCACATTTGTCTCTTGAGACTTACTGTTAGGAGAACAGAATTTCTAACCATCTTTTGAGGTTTGCTTTTCTGAAACCATGTGCAGCTTTTACCATTGACTTGGGTAGGACAAAGACAGAAAATAGACATCATGTCTTTATGTGTTTCAAAGAAATGTCACAGGTCAAATTTAATAGGTGGGTAAAGTTTAGCAAATGACTTGCCTTTCTAGGTTTAACTTGTCAGTTTGTTGTGCTTGACTGTTTTGCATAAATTTTTTCTTTGACTCGGGGCGAGTTTTTTTTTTTAATGACAAATTATAGTATTTGGGGTACTTCTCAGATACTAGGATAGGCACTTAACGTCCTACCTGCCACAACTTGTGGACAAAATTTCTGCTCTAGATCATCACTAACGTAGATTTCACTCTTTATCCAGTCTCTCTACACTGTGGATAAAAATCCTATAAAATGAGCACAAAGATTCATGAAGCTTTAGACAAGTGTGAAGAGCTCCCACAAGGGGTTTTGATGGCCCTCTCCTTCTCAGGAGTGGCATTGCTTTTCAGGGTTAGAAATTTGCATTTAGTGTCATTCTTATTGTTAATATTGCATAGCAACTCTAGTCTATCAATGGATAAGCTGGTAAGAATATATGGTAAATACATTGTATATATATATATGTATATATATATATGTATATATCCACAAATTCAAGCTAATATCCACAAGTATGTGGAATTTCTTCAAGGGCGTTGGAAACTTAAATGTATGCATAATGGGAAAATCCATGCCTCACTCCAAATGCTATGAAAGTGAAGATGATTCCCATTAATAAACATCTGGCATATGCAAAAGCTATAGAAAACTTAAAGCTAAGCACTGAATTCCTTGATTAGGGAATTTCCCTTAAACAGCTAGTAGCAAGCAGCTCATTTGACACAATAGCCCTTCACAGCCAGTGTCTACTGAGATGTACGTGGGACCAGACTCCTCCTCATTTATTAGGCAGTAATAATGTGAAGTAAGTCAAACCAGGCTGCATTTTAAAGAGAAACA